GAAGAGCAGGGCAGAGGAAAGCAGTTCAGGACACAGAAACTAGGAAACAGAGAGAGCTCTGCTCACCAGGGACCAAATATAAACCCCAAAGGCACACCCCCAGTGACCTGCCTCCTGCAGTCGCTCCTTACCCACCTGCAGTTACTGACCAGTTAATCCACAGCAGAGGATTAATGCATTGATTAGATTAAGGCTCTCATAACCCAATCATTTCACCTCTGAATTTTCTGTCATTGTTTCACACATAACAGAGTGCTCCCAAAGATATAGAGAAATGAGAATCCTCATTCCTTGTTGGTGAGACTATAAAATGGTGCAATTACTTCTGAAAACACTTTGGCAGTATCTCAAAATTTAAACATAAGAGCTATTATATAACCAGAAATTCTGCTAAAGAAAAACTTAGATATTTAAAACAAATGCTTAAACTAGCATTATTCCTAACAGCCTAAGAGTAGATATAATCCAAATATCTATTAACTGATGAGTGGATTTTTAAAATGTGGTATGTCCATATAATGGAATGTTACTCAGCCATAAGGAACAAAGTACTAATAGATGCATAATATGGACAAACCATTATTCTAAATGACAGAAGCCAATTACAAAAAGATCTCATATTAGATGATTCACTTTCTATGAAACACCCAGAAAGGCAAATCCACAGATAGGAAGCAGCTCAGTGGCTGCTGCTGGAGGATGAGGGCAAAACCAATGGGGAATGGCTGCTAATACGAGTGAGGTTTATTTTGGGGATAATAAAAGTGTCCTATAATTTTGAATATTCATATAACCAAATATATTAAAAACACTGGAATATACATTTTAAAAGGGTGAATTCTATTATGAAACTGAATCACAAGCCAGTGGGACTATAAAATTATATAGCCATTCTGGAAAAGCTTACATGTTTCTTATAAAATTAAACATCTAATTACTATTCAACTCAATGATTACATATGTGGGTATTTATCTCAGAGAAATTAACTTATGTTCATACAAAACCCATACATAATGTTCAGAGCAACTTTATTTGCAATAGTCCAACACAAAACAACCAGATAATTTTTCAATACAGAAAAGTTAAGCCAAACTTGGTGTATCCATTCCACAGAATTATAGAATTATACTCAGTAATAAAAAGAAACTACTGATATGCAGAACTTGAATAGGTCTCTAGGGTTTTATGCTGAGTAGAAAAAAATCAAGAGGTTACATACAATATGATTTCATTTACATAACATTTTTGAAATAACAATTTTTTTTTTTAAATGGTGACAACGGATTAGTGGTTGCCAGAATGAAGGGAGAGTTACTGGAAGTGAATGCTAGGATTATAAAAGGAATCCTCATGCTCTTTGAGCTGTTTAGTATCTTAAATGTTGTGGCAGAAATAAGAACTTACCCATATAATACAAGTGTACAGAACTGCTATGGTCTGAATGTTTTCTCCCCCTTCTCAGTCCATATATTGAAACTCTAACCCCTAAAGTGATGATATGAGGTGGTGGGGACTTTGGTAGGTGGTCAGATGGATGGGATTAGTGCCCTAAAAAAAGAGTTCCTCACTTTTCTACTACATGAAGATAAGATGACTGTCTAGCAACCAGGAAATGGGCCCTCACCAGAATGAAAAGGGTCATTGCTTCCATCTAGCATTGCCCAGTCCCCATTAACTGAGATAAACAAATTCCTGTAAGTCACTCCATCTATAGTAGTTTGTTATAGCAGCACAAACACACAAAGACAAAACTAAATACACATACACATAAACACAAATCTTGGAAAACCTAAGTTAATTGGACTGAATTGTGAATATACTGATGATTATAGTGTACAAAAGTTTTGCAAAATGTCAACATCAGGGAAAAGTAGGTAAAGGGTATCTAAGATCTCTATTATTTCTTATGGCTGTATGTAAGTCTATATCTTAATAAAGAAAATTTTCATACCATTTTATCTATCTGTGAACATATATTATTTTGGTTAAAAAGAAAATTTAGTTTTCCTATAAATGGTATATTTTGTGTGAAGTACATGACAATAGAAAGTCCCACAATAAAGTTCTCTCTTTTCCTTCCATTTGAAGGATAAGACAACATCAAAACTAAAATATCAATACTAAATAGTCTAAATTCTGAAAAGCAGAGCCACCAGTTAAGCAAATCATCCGATAAGATTACCAAAGCCCTAAATTGGAACCATAACATACTCCTACCAAATTAACTGAGAGAATTTTCTTACATCAGTGAAAATTTTTAAAACTAAATCCTCTTCCTATTCCTTGCTCACAAGATCAAAGAAGGCAATTCCAGGAAAATCTAGAAGCAAAGTAATAGAGGATGTATAATATTATTGTCCTCATATTAATAATTTTGTCAATATCAGATGTTTTTATTAATGGTTTTCATTTCATTAACATATATGGAGTATATGTATGCTCGGCACATCACCCCATGCATTCTTATTATTTAATTCTCATACCCTACAAAACAGGTATCATGTCCATTTTACAAAGTCACTACAACTTAGAAATGGTAAGTATATCTAAGTTGGTAAGCAATGAGTCAGCACTTTCTCCCACGAATGCCTAATTCTTGAAATGAGGATTCTAGTCATTGATTCTCCATTATCACACTGTAACAAAAGTGCCCATCAATAATTATCAATAACTCTTCCCACACAAGGGCACCACCAGTGAGTTTCTGCTTTGGCTTTTAGTACCTGGGAATTCACAGGGACTTAAGTCTCAAGCCCACTTACTGTATCAGAATCATTAGCCCCCTCCTAATCATGGCACCTCTCCTGCCATTCTGCACTCTATGGCCAATTGCTTCAGTGTTGCCTTTTGAGCACTAAGACTCCCATCCTTCTATGAACTTAATTTACCAATCACCAATCCCTGGGGTTACTGCAAAAATGACCCAAACTAAGGGCAGCTCCCTCCATATTTTCTTATCACATGTCCTTGGTCACTAGCCCTCTCCTCTCACACATACTTACAGATATTCATGTAAATACCTATACACAGTCACACACTTCCATACCCACACTTCTCTTCAACCCTCCATCTTAGCCTCATAACTCAAGCTGTTACACCTTCCTAAAGGTAAAATATCAACTGCTATGAAAATCAGCCAATCTCCCCCAAATTGAGCTCTCCTTTTATCTCAGAATGTTCCTATTCTCTAAAACCAATCCCATCAAGTTTTATATGTCTTGAAAATCTGAATAAATGATGGCAATTAGAAAATCTCTGGGGGCTGGGGATGTGGCTCAAGCGGTAGCGCGCTCACCTGGCATGCGTGCAGCCCGGGTTCGATCCTCAGCACCACATACAAACAAAGAAGTTGTGTCCGCCAAAAAATAAATATTAAAAACTATCTCTCTCTCTCTCTCTCTCTCTCTCTCTCTCTCTCTCCCCTCTCTTTAAAAAAAATAAACTAGCCAGAATTTAAAAAAAAAAAGAAAGAAAGAAAAGAAAATCTTTGGCTTTTAGAGAATACCATTTCAAATAGTGTACACCAGTGATACCTAACAGAACTTGCTGCAATGACATAAATGTTATGTATTGTGCTGGATACCCAGAAGCCTCTGACAACATGTAGTTACTGTGCACTTGAAATGTGGCTAGTGGCTGGGTGTAGTGGTGCATGCCTATAATCCCAAGTACTGGAGGCTGAGGCAAATTGCACACACTAGCCTAGGCAACTAAGACCCTATGTCAAAATAAAAAAATAAAAAGGATTGGGAACGTAGCTCCTCCATCCCCAGTAAGGCAAAATAAAATATAGAACATGGCAGGAAGATAGCAAGGGGAAATAAATGAGCAGTTGTAAAGACTAAAAAGATTAGGATAGCAACATCAGGGACACTCCAAAAGAAATATAAGCAGGTGGCAAGTGTGTGAAATGCTGCCATGACTAAGTAAATTATTTATAATGAACTTAGCAACGACATGTTTCCGTAAGTTTTTTCACATTTTACTATTTCTGATATTAGATTATGTGTCTTACAATCTAAGAGGTGTGACAGGTTTCTTTTATTCCCCCAAATCAGTTACAAGGTTGATAGTGTGGTCCTGTCAATAACGGTATTTGAGAAGCAGACCCCGTATACACGGACTATATTCTCAGAAAGTATTTGGGTAAAAGGAAGAAAAATAAAGAAAGAAGGCATAGTTCCTGGTTTTAAATTTAAGTATGATGAGACACAACTATTTGTAAACAAGAAACTTAAAGAAGGGTTTTAGTTTACGTCTCATTTTTGGCTTGTTGCTTTAAGAAGGGATTTTTAAAAGAAATCTTTAAAAAAAAATCAACACTATGACCACCACAACTGATAGAATAAAAACGATGTACTCATGAATGCAGTTGCAATCATTTCACATATAGTGCCTGTTATATAGTTGCTATACACCTACTTCGTGCCTACAAACTGTGCAGGGCGCTGGAATACAGACTGGGAGCACTCAGCTCCAGATCCCTCTCCCACTGGCAGAAAGAGAAAGTTTCAGAGGAAATTTAGGAACGAAAAGAAAGTAGCAACACGAAAAGCTGGCAGAGACACGCCTATATCCACTGTTGTCTTGGTGCGTTCGTTATAGGAATGAATCAAAAAAAATTAAAAAGAACTTCTAAACACCAGCGAGGGAGAATATATCTCACTCACTAGTTCCCAACTCAAGCCCCAGAAGCCCACTCCGTCACGCCCACCGCTGCCACCCTCGCCTTTCCCACAACAGGAGTAGCGCACACAATCCCGGCAGAAGACCGACCTGGGGGCGGCGGCGGCATCCCGCACGCAGACCCGCCCGCCGCGGCCTCGCCTGGGCTCCAGCTCGCAGGCTGGAGTGCCCGCCAGCCACAGAGCCCACCCTCTAGCCCGACCAACTGGCGTTCACGCCTGCTGAGGACTAAACCGAGCTGCCACGGCGGGCCAGCGCTTCACCCTAGCTACACGGGAAACCGCAAGGTCTCAACTCCCGCCCCACCGCGCACCTTGTGACTGCGAGGGCGGCCGCCGCGAGGCATCTCCACGCGCGCCGCCTCCCTCCTCTCGCTTGTATCGCCCCCCCGGAAGGCGCGCGCGCAGGTTCCCAGTCGGCACGCCTCACTGCGCGCTGCGATTGGTGGGCGTTTGAGCGCAGGGCGGGGCTTCCTTGCGTCATGGCGCTTTCCGGGGAGCTACTGGGCGTCCGGCAACTGTACTTTATTTCTGGTGGGGGAAGCGTTTGCTGCGCTGCCGCTCCAACTTCCTCCCCAAGAGAGCTTCAAGACAGGATCCTGCAGTGTTGTCTTACGAATTGTGTTGTCTGGCCAAAACTGACCTTGATTAAAAATAAAATGAAAACCCAAAGTAAGTTGTGCCTTGAATAATCATTCTTAAGGAGCAGCTGTAGCTGTTAGTGTATTGGAGAAAGGAGGGGTGTTATTTCCCGATATATTGGGAGGGAAAGAAACAACTTCCAAATATTAAAGAGTAGAGAATCTTAAATTTATGAGACGTCGAAATCAAAGAGACTTGTTAAAACACGGACCGCTGGATTTCCCGAGTTCTGTAGGTCTGACATATGGTCATAGAACTTGTATATTTCTAACAAGTTCCCAGATGCTGTTCCAGGAATCACTCTAGAAGTGAATATACTTGTGTCTCAACACTTTCAGAAATAGTCTTGAAACTAAACGCAATGGGAAGGAGGCCTGGGACTGAGTAAAAACAAAATTAGGTTTTAAAGTCTGAGTAGGAAGATTCTGTAAAGAAGTTATTCGTTGTAGAAAAAAACTAAATTGATAATTTTTAAAAATTGAGAAAGTGTCTGCCTAGGGAGGCGGAAAGGATTCTTAGAAAGTTGTGTTCTCAAATGGGACATAACTTCCCTATGTTCATATGTGAATATGCCACCAGTGAAACTTCACATCATGCACAACCACAAGAATGGGATCCTAATTACAAGTATGTATGTATAGTATGTCAAAATATGATATGTATGTCAAAATACACTGTATTATCATGTATATCTAAAAAGAATGAATAAAAATTTAAAAAGTTATATTTTTAAAAATATGCAGAAATGGAGTTTAGTCTGCTTTAAAAGCACGTTTTCATATACCTCAAAGAAGACATTCTTTTGTGGTGTTCCACACTCTCCACCTTTTTGTCTGGTCCTCATTCTTCATTATCTCCTGTTTGAAATCCTTTTATATAGTACTCACTCTAAAATAGTTTTAAAAAATGAAAGAAAAAAGTGTTAGCTTTAGTATGACATTGTTGTTATACTATCAGCACTTCCCAATATAAACCAGATACTAAAACTATTTTGGGTTTGAGACTACTGAAACTCAACCAAGAAAAGAGATTTGCCATTGCTGCCTCAGACTAGGCCTTTCCATCTTACTGGTCATCTTACTGTGTGTAGGCCTTGGCTCTCGGTTGCAAATCTCTGTGCTGTTCCAGCTATAGCCTCAGTATACTGCCTGCTTATCATCTCCACTTGGAGATGTTCTTCCACTTAAATGTTCATGTTACCAAATTTGTGCCTATTCAGAATTTATCATCATAGTAGTGTCACTGAATCCACCTGTTAGTCACTTATACAGAATCCTTGGAATTTTTATGAACACTTTTGTGTCTCTTACCAAAGTCCTGTCTGCCCCACCTCTCATGTATGAATCTTAAATCTATCCACTCTCTCTACTGCCACCACCATTTCCCAGGTCACTAATATCTCTTTTCCATACTACTAGTAGCCTAACCCAAGTCCCTAATTACTTCCTAACCCAAGTCCCCACTCTTATTTCCCCATCCACCACAAGCATATAATCCATTCTCCATATAGACATTCCAGTGATGTTTACGCATCTCCATTTGGCTTTCCCTTCCTTTGTCAAATGCACCCAGCATCTGGAGCCTCAAGGCCTAACCTTTTACTTTTCGTTTTTCCTGAGAGTCTCCAGCCTCCCATTGCCAAGTCAGTTTTTTTTATATTTATTTTTTAGTTCTAGTTGGACATAATTCCTTTATTTATTTATTTCTGTGTGGTGCTGAGGATCGAACCCAGGGCCTCGCACTTGGTAGGCGAATACTCTGCCATGAGCCACAATCCCAGCCCTGCCATGCCAGTTCTTATGCACCTAGCAAACCTGAACCAGATTGACTTAGTTTCCCTGAACTGTCCTACTCTTTATTTTCACAGAAACCTATGCTCCTTTGACAATATTATACAAATAACAATGAAAATATAGTATTTAAATACAGTAATTATTATAATTGTTTACCACTGACTCCACCTCTGTAATGTGTAAGGTGATATCATTTCTGTTGTGTTCACCTTTGTATCCCTAGCACAGTGTTTTCCACATAAAAAGCACTTGGATATTTTCCTATGAATGAATAATTATTTGCTATAGTTGAGATATGGTTTGAATGTATCCCCCAAGTATTCATGTGTTGGAAGCTTGGTACTGGTGTGGTGAGGTTAGAAATTGATATGGACCTTTAAGAGACAGGCCCCAATGGAAGATCCTTAGGTCATTGAGGGCTCTGCCCTTGGAAAAGATAAAAGTCATTATCAAGATAGCGTGTTGTTAACAGGAGTGAACCTACCCCCTGAACTTCACTCTGGTTTCCTGTTTGGTGATGTCTCTTCTCTCTCTTCCATGTGCTCCTGCCATCTGCCATGAGATCCTCACCAGAGATGAGTTGATGCCAGCACAAGACTTTGAATTTCTAGATTCTCTAGATTTTATGAGCTACACAAGCCCACTTCTGGTATTTCATTATGGTAATGAAAAACAGACTAATACAGAAAACTAGTACTGAGGAGTGGAGTTGTTTGTATAACTATACTATGAATGTTGGAAGCAGCTTTGAAATTGGGTTCCAGATAGAGGTTCGAAGAGCTTGGTGAAGCAGGCAAGAAAAAAGCACAATTCTGGTGAGAGCACAGAAGATGAGTGACTAGAGATCTAGACCTAGATAGAAATGGAAACTCTGTTGGAAATTGGAAAGGCCATTTTTGTTACACTCTGACAAAGAACCTGGATGCATTGTGTTCATGCCCTAAGATTTTGTGGAGGGCCAAAATTAAGAGTGATGGACTAGTTTATTTGGCAGAAGAAATTTCAAAATAACAAAGCAATCAGAATGCAGCCTGAGTATTATTGACCACTTTTAATGAGATTTACAGTTAGACTTGGGTGAAAAATCAAACAGAATGGAAAGATTTGGAACCAGGTGGAAAAGTGTATTTGGGAGGGGAAGGTGCACCTGAGCAACCACTTGCTGAAAGGATTAGCAGGGAGGCTAAGGATGTGGCTCAAAGCCATAGCACTTGCCCAGCATGTACAAGGCCCTGGGTTTGATCCCCAGCAACTCAAAAAAATAAAACAATATAAAAATAAGTATACAAAAAGATGATCAGGAATGCTAATAGGACAATTGGAAAAAGATTTTGAGGGCATCTCAGAAATCTTTGAATCTACTCCTAATATCACAGGCCCAGGAATCTTCCAGGGCAGAATTATTACAGGGACCAATCCCAGAGTACTCTCCGTTTGCTTGGGATTTGTTTCCTGCATTCTGCCAGTAAAGAACTCTATAGCTGCAGCAGTTGCTCAAGTAGGTCCAGGGACAGTTTGCACCATTCACGGACTTGGTGTCCATGTGGAGCTGTTTTTTCCTGTACACAGAATGCAAGAGTATTCTGATGGCATACAGTGAAATTTTAAAGGAAACACCTGGGAGCCCAGACAGAAGTTTAATGTGGGGTCAGATTCCCAGCAGAGAGACCCAATGAGGCAATGCCTAATGGAGCTCAGTGAGGACCCTAGAATGGTAGAGAAAATAGTAATATTCAATGCCTGCCAGGGAAAGCTAAGCATTGTGCAAAACTAGCTCAAAAGAATAACCAGACTTGTTAATAGGAAAGCTGTAGGGGCAATGCTACCCAAGTCTTGAGTGTTCAACCCTCACCATAATGTGTACAATGTGCCAGACCTGAAGGTTTAATTAATTATCTGCCATGATGGTTTTCATTATTGCTTTGGGCCAATTACTCCTTTCTACATTCCTATTTATCCCTTTTGTAACTGAAATATTTATCCCATTCCTATCTTGCCATTGTATCTTGGAAGTATGTAACTTGTTTTTGTTTTTGTTTTTTCATGGGGGCTCATAGCTGAGAGTTTCCTTGAGTCTCAAAAAAAACAAAAAAAAACAAAAAAAAAACAACTATGGTTGTTTTAAAACTTTGGGACTACTGAGAATAGAATAAATGCATTTTTCATTGTGAGATGAACATGATCCTTGGGGACCAGAGCTAAAATGCCATAGTTTGGATATAGTTTTGAGTGTGTCCTTCAAGAGTTCATGTTTTAGAAGTGAAATTCCCAAGGTAGTGAAATTGGTAGGCGGTGTTGAACCCTTAAAAGGTAGAGCCTAAGGGGAGCTCCATAGGTCAATTGGGATCATGCCCTTGGGAAAAGATTGTAGAACTCAAGTCACTTTCTTCTTTTTTCAATATGTTATCTCTTCTTCCCACATACACACCTGCTGCTGTAATGCCATCCACCTTAGGCCCTCACCAGAGGCTAACACAATGGGGCAGCCCAATATGGGACTTTCAACCTCTAGAACTGTAAGCATTTAAAATTCTTTTCTTTATAAAATAAGATTGTCTAAGATATCCTCTTAGGGTAATGCAAAACTGATTAGTACGTTGTTAAACAGAAATGACTTACCTGAGGTCATATAGCTAATAAGTGTTCAAGATTAGAATCTATGTGTGACACAATGGCCCATACATTTCCCACTATACCAAACAGAATATTGTATAACTGTGAGGAATTATCAACTACGAATTAGTAATAAAAGGAGTATTTATAAGAAAAAAAGATCCTGTGTAAGAATGGACTATTGAGTCCTTTCTAATCTTGTCATCTCCTTCTCAAAAAAACATTCAATGTTAACTGACAAACTGTTTTCCAAAGTAATTACAATATTTTACATTCCCCAACAGAAGTGTGTGTGAGTTCTAGTTGTTCCATGTTTTTTTCAATACTTGATATTATCAGTCTTTTAAAACTATAGCCATTATAGCAGTTTATGGTAGTAA